AAACGTTAGGAAGAACAACCTTCAGAACACGGCCAAAGAGCTCGAAAAACTCAAAACAACCATTAGATCCCAGCCATGAAAGCCTTCGCGAATACATTTCTAGCATTGCTTATTCAGTTTCTTCTAACCTAACACCCTGCATTTCTTACCCCCTCCAGTTGCCAGCATAAAATACCACTCAGAATAATTCTTGGTAACTTCACTAAGACCCAGACTATGTTTAACAACATGGGGTCAGAAATGAGGTTTACTAGACTGGTGACAGCTGCTCTGCTTCTTGCACTCGAGGACTGAAGCTTACTTTTGTGACGCCTCTCCAATTAAATCTTTGCTCATTCAGAAACAAAAGGGGGACCTGTTCAATTTCTATCCATTTTTGTGATATGTTCATTGGTTAACTTGAATTATTACAAAGAACTGATTTTAAAAGGTCCCCCGTTGCTGCTTTTGAAAACTGAAGTGTTAGTTTGCACACTATAAATACGTTTTAACCATGATGAAAGAAAGGAACCTACCTTAGAAAAGGTGGTTTTACGATGCCATTCATGTCAGGTTTCTGGAAAAAAGAAAATACAGAATCATCCAACACAAGAAACACCTCAACACTTGTAGGAGATTCAGAGAACACTGTAGAGCCTGTTTGCAAGGGTAGTTTACTACCTTCTTCTGTTGCTACCATTTCCATCTGGTGACAATTAGGAGTTGTGTTGGTACACAAAGCAAAGTGCACAGGAAATTTATATTTACAGTATATACGCTTTATATTTATATTTACGTTTAAACACAGACCTTTATAGAAGCTACTATGTAAAATAATTTGGAATGCTGATTTAGTCAATAAAAGTGGTTTACCAGCTCAAGGCTGCATAGGCTGGCTCTTCTCCCAGGAGGCCCAGTGAGGAACTGAACTCTCAACATCTGGTTCCCCTAATACTGAGCTATCCAGCCAGCTTATTCAATAATAAAACATACAAAATGCAGAAAGTCTATATATTTTGATGATATAATGAGAATCGAAACGTACAGATGGTTACAGTTGGTCATTCAAGATAAAAATAAATGAGAAAAGTAGTGTAGGCTGAGAGGTTGGTTTGGAGGTATCACATCATTGTTTAAAGCTGCCACATCCCGTGACACTCTCCAAAGTTGAGCAGGAGAGAGATGAGAAGAATCATAAAAAGGAATGGCTGCATTGCTTATCCTGGTACTTGAGTGACTTATGAGCGAATCTTATTCCTGAGAACTTTCAAGTCTCTCAAATTCACCATGCCAATTTCCTAACTCATCTTCGCCTATTCCTAAAACTGCAACAACCTTCTGAGTGCAGAAGGTGGCACTGTAGCTCTCCTATCCAGCTACAGTTTGCCTGTCCACGAAGTGAAAGAGCAATTTTCCTGAGCAATTTTCAGCAGGATGGATTATCTTCCAACACAAATACACATATCAGTGTAGATTTCCTTGTATGCTACCTATTGTGCAAAAATGAGACTTAAATTAAGTGTATAAATCAATGTATAAAAATAATCTCAGTACGTTTTACTGCAACCTCACTGTTTTGAAGTAGTAAAATCACCAAGAGAACTTAGCAGCTGAAAAACAGCACATTTCAAGGCCAGTAGTAATTGAAAAAAAAGTCATTTGTGAAATGTGATTATCTACTGAATTCATGATCCTTCAGTAGGCCTATAATGCATGCTCTTTCTGTGCAAACGTATGCAATGCATTTGAAAAGTCTAAACTTATATCTCAATTACATTTGCAGTATAGAAAGCTGCACAATCTGTTGTATCCCCTTGCCAATATTCAACAAGCTGAAGTCAACTACATTCATCCTCATCCTAAACACATTAATCCTAGTAAAACCAGTGGTAATTAGTACATCAATAGTGGACAGGATTTAAAAGAAAGCTAGAAGTAGTCATTTTAAGGGACGTGGTAGCGCTGTGGGTTAAACCGCAGAAGCCTCTGTGCTGCAAGGCCAGAAGACATGCAGTTGTAAGATCGAATCCACGTGTCGGAGTGAGCCCCCATCGCTTGTCCCAGCTCATGCCAATCTAGCAGTTCAAAAGCATGAAAAATGCAAAATGCGAGTAGATAAATAGGTACCACCACGATGGGAAGGTAATGGCGTTCCATATCTAGTTGCATTGGCCATGTGACCACGGAAGATTGTCTGCGGACAAATGCTAGCTCTATGGTTTGGAAACCGAGATGAGCACCGCCCCCTAGAGTCGGACATGACTGGACAAATTGTCAAGGGGAACCTTTACCTTTAGAAGTAGTCCTAATATGCAAAAGGGAGAGTTGATATTCGTTTTCTGAAACTGCAGTCTTTAGTTCCAGCAGGGAAACCTTTTCTGAATGTTAGAATTTCAAAATGACTTTGTGTGTGCAACCAGGTACACAAACAGCACTTTGTTAGATCTCCGTGTGAGTAAATGCCGAAGATGACACTGGCCAACATTTTTATGACTGGGTATAGGATGTCTTTTACCAAACAACAGAGGTTCAAGAAGCAGACTGCATGCTTTCAGAGACATAGATGGAAGGTGCAATTTCAAAAATGGGAATTTCAAAATGACTTTGTGTGTGCAACCAGGTACACAAACAGCACTTTGTTAGATCTCCGTGTGAGTAAATGCCGAAGATGACACTGGCCAACATTTTTATGACTGGGTATAGGATGTCTTTTACCAAACAACAGAGGTTCAAGAAGCAGACTGCATGCTTTCAGAGACATAGATGGAAGGTGCAATTTCAAAAATGGGTAAATAACCTCTCCTCGATCCTCTAGAGAAGGCACAGGCAGGCGAGAGGCAAACAAGATCCAATGATCACCCTGCAGTTTGCCATCCAGAGCCAGATGTGGCTTCAGAGTCAGAGAGTTCAATGTTAAACAGCAGCTCATGCTGGAACCAGTTACGGTACTTCCTGCATCCAGTAAGCTTTGCTCTGCGATGAACAGCCTATACAGATTTAAGTCTACAAAGCAATTCCCAACCTTGGATCCCTAGATGGCTATTCCTAGAATTCTTAACCAGAGATCCTGGGAGTTGCACTCTATCAACCTCTGGGCACCCACAGCTTGAAAACACATTATAAATTCCAATAATATATTTCTCAGAGGGATAACATTGTTGTTAAAGAATGGGGAACCAGAAACTCTTATCTATGGCCTCTCATCCACTTTCTGTTTACCTCTCCTCTCAAGAGCCATCACACATTCCAAAGATGTAGATTGTTGCTCTTCCCAGGTATCATAAAACTGGTTCAAGAAGGTTTTAGGTGAGTAGCTCCTACAATTCTCAAACTCAGTACAGAACTAGAGAACACACAAATTATGTGTTTCGGTTTCTTTCATTTGCATGGTTGATGAATTTCACTGATGAGTGCAGTATTCATGACAAAACAGTGCAAGAGTAATAAAGGATGACTATTTCTCCTGCTGAAAAGTAAATTTATTTGCCTCATTCCCATGGAATATATTCACCAAATTTCAGGAGCTAAACAGTACAGTTCACTGAACCATTTAGTTTGATTTTCATTTGTTTGAGAGAATTATGCTTCTGTAGAAGTCGTTTTCCCAAAACAAACTCTACAGTATACTTCAAAAAAGGAATTAAAAAAGGCATCACCTTACCACAAGCAAAGGGACAGGAGACTAAACAAAGAAACATTGGGTTCCTGGGTCTTCACAAGAATCCGAATACTGTATTTTGTACATCCAGACTTCAAACAAGTCTCCTTGCAAAATTACTAAACTAGGTACTTTGTATAACCAACTTGGCTTGCACACTCACACATGGCATGTGGCTCATTTCCCATTCTGCCTGATGAACAATTCTCTTTGAAAGTATGTGTGTTTTTAAGAGAGCAAGATATATTTCTGTACAAAAATGTACACAGTTAATTTTCTGAATGTCATTCCAAGACACACCGAGCTGTTGCTTTGTGGTGACGAAGAACCATTTTTTTAGGTGACATGGAGCTAGCATTGGTGTAGATAGACTAATTGTCTATCCATTTTTTCTAAAGATGTTCAAGGAGATTAATGAAAGAATGCCAATACAGTAAAAATAAAATAAAAATAAAATCCTTTGGTACTTTAGATGAACAAGGAGCCACATGATGGGTCACATTTCAGCAATTCTGAAAGAGCTTCACTGACTGTGGATGTGGTTCCGAGTATAATTTTCAGAATTACCTGGTGATGGTGCTTACCTTTCAAATCCTAAATGATTTGGTACTTAGATACTGAAAGGAACGCCTGGTCCCCATACCATGTCAGTGCTCTTTCCCCTGTGCTCTCACTGAGCTCTCACTGGGAGAACTAGAGAGAGATCTTTTTCAGCAATAGAACTCCCTCCTCAAAGACCTTTGAAAGGCACTTCTTTCCTATCATATCATTAAGACTTGTTCATCCACACATTTTAGATGTGAATTGAACTCTTTCGTGTACTCTTTTCTTATACTCTTAGTGTTTTATTAATATTGTTTCTTCTGTGACTATAAAATATCCTAGAATCAAGTCCATGGGACTGCTTATGGATTTTTTTAAGAGGAGGGCCACCAGTTAGACCTCATATTTTCTCCTCTGACACTATACATTCTCTCTTCTCACAATAAGTACATAGTTCCCTATCCAAGTCACACAATACTGTACAAAGATACCGGTTCATACGGGAAAGTCCTCATAATGACATACCTAAAACTTTTTTCCCCTGGAAGCTGAAGCTTTTCAGAATTTCCTGGGAGAAATTCACTGAATGAAATACAGTCCAATGATGTTCTGTTGGCACAATAATTTAACTGACCTCAGTCACTCCCTTTTGCTTGTTGCTTGACAAAGAACTCACTGTGCTACTTGCTTAGCAACTTCTCTCAGGCTAATAAATCTTTAAAATTCTTGCTGTCATGATTATTTTCAAACACCATGTTGATGAAATAGGTTTTACCAGTCAGCCATAGACTAAGTGCACTAACGTATAATTCTGATAATATATAATAGGGCTGATTTTCTTGTTTTAAGAACAAGAAAACACAAAGCATGACAACACTATAGTTGGTTTGGGTGCAGTGCTGGCCATAACTTCAGACTGTAGGTTATCCAAATCTATACAAGTTGTTTAGGATTCTTCAACAGAGGGAAAGGATACATGTGTACACTCTCAAATGTCATGTTCAACATATAGGAATTTGAGAGCAGGGCCAGTAGGCATGTTCTGGCTGCTGCCACCATGCACTGGATGGCCTCTCTAATGTTAACCAAGGCTGGTCACTTCAACAGTGCAGACAGAATGGTGTAACTCAACCTTCTTTTCCTCCCTCTTAGGTTAACCATGACAATGGCCATATTTCATCAGGGTATATTCTTAAATGAGCCTTAAAGGTACAAACCGGGAGCTCATATTTGCAAAATATGTAAGGCCTTTTAGAGATAATTAATTCACAATAAGTCACCATAAACTGGAAGCAACTCGAAGGAACAACCAAGTAACAAAGCATGAAATAAAGCACTGCTCTGCTCTTGCACAGCTGTCATTGTGCAAGGTACTTAAACTTTTGGTAGCAAATGTCTTATTTTGTCTATGCAAACAATCTTCTGTTTGGAAACATGACTGGGAAATTCTGCATTTAATCTACTGAATCTGATACTTTAGAACAGTGGTTCTTAACCTTTGTTACTCAGATGCTTTTGAACTGCAACTCCCAGAAACCTCAGTCAGGACAGCTGGTGGTGAAGGCTTCTGGGAGTTGCAGTCCAAAACTCCTGAGTAACCCAAGGTTAAGAACCAGTGCTTTAGAACATCTTTTCTCACATTAGTTTGCAAGGTCTTTTGGAAGTTAATGTGAGACATTTCTAGGAAGGCATTCAGAAAACGTTTACTTATATCTGAAGTCCTATCTAAATTGTTTCTAGTTGTCAGTTGCTATGCTAGCAGCTGGAATGCAGATGATTTGATATTTTTTGTATGGTACTGCACATGCCAGGTGTCTTTTTATTGATGGCATATGTTTATAGTTTGTACAGCCACCTGCCATTTGTTGGAGAATGTAAACATATAAGAGCAAAAGCAAAGCTTTATATAATTATCAGTTTCTTTGGCATAAACCTACAAGAAACATGAAATGACACAGGCTCCAATACTTTGGCCATCTCATGAGAAGAGAAGACTCCCTGGAAAAGATCCTGATGTCGGGAAAGTGTGAAGGCAAGAGGAGAAGGGGACGACAGAGGACAAGAAGGTTGGACAGTGACATTGAAGCTACCAACATGAATTTGATGAAACTCTGGGAGGCAGTGGAAGACGGGAGGGCCTGGCGTGCTCTGGTCCACGGGGTCATGTAGAGTCAGACATAACTTAACGACTAAAAAACAAATCTATTAAATATTTAATTTGGTCCATTTGGTTCAGTTATTTCAGGAGCAGAAAGATATACATCTGGACTCAAGTGAAAATTTTGCATGGAATTAGATTTAAAATGTGTAAACAATTTGCCCTAATATGTCAGCTTTAGTTCTAAAGAAGACTTTCAGGAAATGTTTGAAACTATTAAGGGAATCTTCAAAAGAAATCATTAATATCAATTGTTTCTAAAGCTTGTTGAAGACTAAGTTTTGGAGAAATTATTACTGGTAGCTATTAGGCAGCTAAATATAGAAAAGCAATAAGGCTACAATCTCATATTTCATGCAAGTATTTCCATAGCAGTTTGAGTCTGGACCACAATTAGATAAGACTTTGGAGGGGAAAGAAAAATCAGAATTGGAGGGACTACTCACAGGAACTGTGTTTTCTGGTTTGGCCACTGGAGTCTTAACGGTAGTACTTGTTGAAGACTCCAATCTTGTTTCTGAAGATGCTCTTGTTTGCCCAGATATCAAATAATCTGGTGTGGGAAGGACAACTCCACATCGCTCTGTTAAACTGACTGAGCTGGTGCTTCGAACAGGCACAGGACTAAAGAAAAGAAAACCAGCCATTAAAGTGTAGTATGACAAGAAAGCTCCAATTCCTTATGAAATACCATTTCTCCCTCAATTCAGCCACGTTGCTTCCCACCCACCCACTTCTCTCTGCAACCCTTTTTCAGGGCCAGCGTTCAACAGTTGAGCATTGAAGTGATGTTTTCTTATACTTTCTCAATAAAACCCAATTTCTAGAAAAGTTTTTTCTGTTGCTCTCCTAATTCAAAAATGTGCCAACTCTAGGGGATATGGAAGAGGCAGAAGCATTCTGTGCTTGCAGAAGCCTCTGTGGATGCTCATCTCAGAGACCTGCGATTAGAAGCATCTGCCTGCACAGCTGCTGTGCTGGCTAAGATCAGGCAGCAGAAGAGCTAAAAAAGGGGCCTGAGTCAGGAAGAACTGAGTTACATCAGATCCAAGCCTCTTCCAGCACTGAGTTAGGACAAGCTGAGAGCAGTCCTAAGTAATTCCCAGTATCCTTGATTTGGGAAGGAATATGATTCAGCAGGCCTAAAGTCAGCTCCCCTAACTCTCAGCTATCTTGGCTTGCTAAGACCTCACCTTAAGTTCCTTGTGAGAGCACTCTACTTCATAGACAATAAATATTGTAACATCCGATTGCATACATTTGTTTCACTTGTGCTTTGTTGTATTGGACTGCTAGTTTCTGAAACAGCTCTTTTGTACAGAAAATAGTATGTCACCCCCAAAAACAAAACTGGAGTTCCAGATCTTCCACTAACAGAACTACAGGCATACCTCGGTTTACAAAATTAATGTGTCCTCCATCCTGGAAATGTAATGCGGAAACTTCGTAAATTGAAACGTGGATTGCACTATTTATTTATTGGACTTATATACCGCCCCATAGCGCTACAAGCACTCTCCGAGCGGTTTACAATTTAATTATACAGACTACACATTGCCCCCCCCCCAGCAAGCTGGGTACTCATTTTACCGACCTCGGAAGGATAGAAGGCTGAGTCAACCTTGAGCCGGCTACCTGGGATTTAAACCCCAGGTCGTGAGCACAGGGACGGCGCTAGAAACCTCCAGGTGCAATAAATCCTGGGGAACCCCTTTCATACAGTGGGGGTGGGGAGTGGGGAGGAAAAAACCCTAAACCGGGGCATTATTTTCTATGGATTTCAGTTCGTAAACCACAAATTACCTAAACTGAGGCATTTGTAAACTGAGGTACTGCTGTAAGTTAAATATTATTTAACATTTTCAAATTCAAGAAGTGATTAAGTGGCAGAAATCCTGTTATATACTCTGGTTTCTTTACTGACTGTACAATCCTGTTGCACAGTTATGCAGAAGACACAACTTTTAGTGGTGAAGTGTCAGAAATTAAGAAATCTCTGTAGATATTATCTGTTGCACACTAAATGCAATGACTCAGCATGCAATAGATATCTACGGGGATTTCTTAACTTAGCAGTAATTCACATCTAAAAGTTACACTGAGTAACTGTGCAACAGGCTTTCAGCTATTGTTTTTAAGTGCATGTAGGGACATAGTCTAAGGAAATATGATAAGAATACAAAATTAGACCATATGAAGTAGTGTGGTCAAACATGTTTAGGAATGATAACCTGCTTACTGCTTTAAAAAGCACTTTCTAACCTGAAAAAGTACACTTCTTACAAGTATTAAAAGGCTTTGAACAAACCTAAATTAAGTAAATTTACCTTGGCACTGCCATATAAATTGTGTCAACAGGTTCTTCCAATGGTTTTGTGTATGATGATGGGAACCATCCTTTTCTAGAACAAGATACAATACTTATGAAAGCTCTATAAAGCAACAGCAATGTATAGAATAGTTGCAGAAGCTTGTGCCATCAATGGTTATTAGAAATGATAGCTGTATACCCGCTCCAGGAACTGAAAGTTTTACTATCATCCTGACTTGTTTGGGGGCATCTGGTTGATCTCTATGGAATACATGATGCTAGACTAGATAGATCTGACCCAGTAGTGTTGTAAATAGGTAGATATCTACTGTGTTTCCCCCAAAATAAGACAGGGTCTTATATTATTTTTTGCTCCAAAATGCATTAGACTTATTTTCAGGGGAAGTTTTATTTTTTTCAGGTACAACCTTCTATGTTTATTCAAATACAGTCATGTCATCTTCTTCTTGTTGCTGCACAACGGTGGAAGGTGGGGTTTCACTTAACTGGGGCTTATTTTGGGGGTAGAGCTTCTATTACGAGCATCCTGAAAAAATCATACTAGGGCTTATTTTCAGGTTACGGCTTATTTTCAGGGAAACAGGGTATGGAGAGAGAGAGTCCTTCAAGAAAGTCTGGGGTTCTTAATTCTGATTTTAAAATAACATAACTGTTTCAGGATCATAGTTTCCCCATAACTCTTCCTAGAATTCCTCACTATTAATAGCTTCCATGATTTACTAAAGCTCCGTTAACAATAAATTTAGATAAAATCTAATTATTACATGAATCTGTAGGAATAAGGAGACAAGTGGATTTACACTGAAAGTCTACAGAAGCCTACTCTGAAGTTTCTCCAACTGCACCCAGCTGGTCTAACCTTTCCAGCCATATAGGACTGCAAACCAACTTACACTTTAGTCACATCATGTTCTCCGTACAGCCATCCGTCCCGTTCCTCAGCTACAAGTAGTGTGATTATATCTCCCTGTGCAAAACTAAGCAGAGTCTTATTACTCCCTGCAGTGTGTGGAAAGATGGTTTTAACTTTCTGCCTTTTCATTATATTTAGTCCCGTGGCAACAGATGTTGATCGTGATAAGGTGGAATCATCTGTATGATCTGATTAAAAGGAAGAAGGAAAAATACATTGTAACATTAGGCTATAGATAACAAGTTAAAATGGAATTGAATAAGGATAAAAATAATAGAAAAATGACCTTTCTTGTCCTTTTAATTAGTTATTATTAACTACTGTTTCATAAAACACAGATTAATATTAGAAACATTTAATTACCAGATAGAAAAGAGAATTAATGAGCATACACTGCTCAAGTTGAGAAACTCCTCCTTCATCTCTCTCTTCCTAAATAATCAACAATTTGTGATTTTATTTGCACACCTCTCACAGTCAGAGTTCAACTGGCAATACAGTATACACATGTGTAAGTGAAAACTATGGCAGCAATATGCTTGTTGCATTCCTGGCCATGTGCCTAGTCACACAATGGACATGTGAAAAAAAGAGTACAACTGGACTCTTATCTATTAGTGGCAACTGGCTGCCACAATCGATGCAATTACACTGATGCATATGTAAATTATCAACAGGATTCTGGCCAGCATTTTTTAAAACAGTCTAGTAGAACAGTCATGTGGGTACGTGTACACATGCACAGACACACAGCATGACCACTCACCAAAACCCTCTAATTTACAGGACTGATTTTTGTCTAATTAAACGAAGAGGAGTCAATGCCTCCCCGCACCCATATTGATTCTAAAGACACACAGTACGTGTTGGAAGAAGTAAAAATACAAAATAAAAATTGTAAATGTAATCTCAAAACAAGGATGTGTGTGTTCATCTCAGAGATAAGGTATGTGGAAAACTAAAATCTTTGCTCAGGGGGCAAAGCGACTCAAGTACAGTGGAGTCTCTACTTAAGAACGTCCCTACTTAAGAACAATCCAACTTAAGAACAGCTCCATTTGCTAAATTTTGCTTCTACTTGAGAACAGAAATCCAAGATAAGAACAGGAAAAAAAACATTTCCTGCTCTTTTTTTAACCTTAGGTCATCTTAGGTTAAAAAAAATTCTCCCCCTAGTGGTAGAGTACGTATTAACCAGCTTTGCATTAGTTCCTATGGGAACTAATGCTTCAATGTACGAACGCACTGTGACAAACCCAGACCTACTGGGATCTGCCACACGTTAACTAAGCTGCCACCAACCATTCCCTATAAGAGGTCACACAGACCAGGGATGGATTTTTAACAAATAAAGGAATAAGGTTTATTAAATAACACACAGGGAAAATAAAATGATCAGGTGAATAAGATATAGTAACGTGGCTTAGTCTCATTCATACATGCACACAGTTTGGTTCACACAGAACACTTAACTTGAAGCACAGACCCTGAACCTAAAAGAGGAATTTGACAGATGCAACTTGTTGAAATGAGACACTGTATCTGCTCAATTTTTCTTTTTCCCCACAAAAAAAGAGTTTGTGGTTGGTCAACCTCTCCACCTATTTCTGTTTTATTCGGTACAACGTTGTTTTTAAAACAGAAAGCAGCATCAAGGCCAACACCTGCTTTAGATAAGGATGCAATTCACTCATGAGAATTGACACCCCAGCGGAAGACCAATCTTTAAATGCCATTTGCCTCTGACAGTCTAGACACCAAGCTTTCTGAATGCAGCTTAGCTGCCTGCTGCAGAAATAAACTCTACAATTTAAAATTGTGCCAAGCAGTTTCTTAAGAGAACAGCTGTTTTCATCTATGTCACCTTCCCCTTCAGTAAGAAATATTTTAAAAAAGAGCAAAAAAATTAATAAAATAAAAACAAAGCCGTTCTGTCACCGTAAATATCATGCATTCAAGAAAAACTTAGATAATCACATGGCAGATCTCATTTGATCTGTATTCCTGCATTGAGCAGGGGGTTGGACTTGATGGCCTTGTAGGCCCTTTCCAACTTGACTTTTCTATAATTCTATGCCTCAATGTCTTTGTCTTCTTTATTTTTCTGCTTTTCCTTTGTTTTGTGTTCCTTCCTGATATGCTTGCAGAGACTAAAACAACTTCCCCTTCACTAGCATTCATGAAAGGAAAACTGGTAACTGAAAGGGTATTTCTTACCACACTGTTTCTCTCTATCATCGGTGAAGGCAGAGGAGTTCCTGATACTGGAGTGGAGCCTGGTGTTTTTATCTCTTCTATCATAGTCATTATTTTTTCTGGTACTCTGGTAGCATCACTGCATGTTTCCAGCCATCCAGGTAATTTGGAATTAAGTAATTCTGAGCTCTACAAAAATGTGATATTTAAATGTGTGTTTTTCTTCTTCTTCAAAGAAACAATATACATATCAAGTTGAATCTTAAGAACAGCCATGGATTCTGTGATACCTATTCATATTTACTTTTTATATTGTTTGGTAAGGATGTGGTGTAAGAGGGGGTGAATGAAGGACATGGAATTTTGATAAGAATGATTCTGATTGTCTGGAAGAAAAATTAGATAAGAACAGGGATTGTGTGTTAAATACATCAGTTCTGAATCTGATATAGGAGCATTCTGATGTACAAAAATCTGGGAGGGGGGGCATTTGGAGTGTAGGGGCCTGGGAGAGAAGGAGAAAGTGGCCCATGAGAGAGATGGGCCTGAGTGAAGGGTTGAATGTATGCACAAAAAGGAGCAACTAAGATTGGTGGCAGTGAAAGAGAAAGAGAGTAGTGAAGATTATTAGAGAAAAAAAGTTTATTCTTGTGATGCTTTAAGAGACCTCAATAGTCAAGTGACAAGGCAAAGTGAGGTTTGACATCAGTGTCAGAGAGAAGGGGTGTGAGAGATTCTACAATGACATTTTTGCGTGAGTGCAGTCATCTTTAATGAAAGGTTTTTCTCACATTCTGTTGGGGGGGACACGAACAATGTAGCAACAGCATACAGATTCTGTTGTGAACTACATAAAGCATCACATAAAATAAAGCTTTATAGACAAGTCCTTAGAAAAAACATGATAGGAAACTCTTTGCACAACATGATTCCATTATAGGGTCATAACAACAAACAAGAAATGGTTACAGGCCACAAATTGAATTGAATTTTCATTTACAGACTTGGTCTTTCCATGTTTCAAATATCTGTTTCTTACATTTCAATCAACGGGGCCTAAAATGTGTATTATCTTAGTATGAATTTCGCACTGTTGAAAGGATCCTGCAACATCAGGCTCCACAATTTTTTTCTGGCAATGTAAGATTCTCTTCTCATACCAACCTCTATGTAATAATACTTCATGCGTTGGGCAAAGCTGCAGTGCTTGTCAACTAGAAAACAGAATCTTTTTTTCTCTTCAAGTAAAGCCTCTCTGCAACCTTCAGCAATAAATCTCTGGATGTCACTCTGCCGAGAAGTCACTGTTTCCAAATACTAAAGAAAATATTAAAAATAGATTCAGACAGAGAAAATTTGATACGCTCGTTTTGAACAACCTGAATCTAATAGCCACGAGCTATTATAATATCTTACCATAATCCAGTTCTAAGAGAGGTAAGCAATTATATTATCTACCCACATCCTGATGAACCTGCAGAAATATTGCAACTCTATATCCTTGCTTTCCACACAGTACTGTCTCACAAAATATTCAATAATATTTTAGTCTTAGAAATATTAGACTGCAAAATAAAGTGGAACCCCTGCGTCTGCAGGGGATCAGTTCTAAGCCCTGCCCCGCCCCACCCCACAGATGCTGAAAACTGTGGATAACAGCGAATCCTATACATGACATAGATATTCTGTTTGATGTAGTGGATAGAGTGACGGTCTAGGACTTTGGAGACCAGAATTGGAATCTGTACTCAGACATGGCAACTGAATTGGGGAGTGGAACTGGTAAAACCAAATATCACACTTACCTTGAAAGCCCTAGTAGGGCTGCTATAAGTCAGTTCCAACTAGATAGTACAGAACAAAAATATACAGCATTGTCTCTTGCTCTCTCTAGTGGCCAGTGATGTTAATTCAACATAAAAATATGTACCTCTGTTTTTCTTCGTCTCTTGCTCTCTCTAGTGGCCAGTGATGGTAATTCAACATAAAAATATGTACAGTACCTCTGTTTTTCTTCTTTTATTTAACTTATATGCCACCCACACTACGTCTCTGGGTGGCTTACAAAGATTTAAACACAATAAAAAGATAACAATAAGTAAAATACAATTACAAATACAATGCTCTAAAAATTGCCACCAGGACCCACAGTTGATTTTATTTCAATTAAAAACCTTCTGGAACAGGAAGGTTTTGACATGGTGTCAAAATGTCATCAACGTTGGCTCCAGATGAATCTCACTCGGGATGGCGTTCCATAGTCTGGGGGAAGCTACCGAAAAGGCCCTTTGTCTACAAGCCGTCCCTCTTACCTCCTTGAGGGATGGCTCTTTCAGGAGGGCCCCCTGGCTAGATCGGAACGTGGCTGAATTGAGGGAGAAATGGTAGGTTCATATGGAAGGAGACGGTCCTTCAAATATCCAGGGCCCAAGCCGTAAAGGGCTTTATTTTGAGACCCTGGATAAGTGAAACTGGATACTGATCATGTGGATATGGGTCCTACTATATCTATAAATGCTCCCTGTTCTGCTAGTTATGAGAAGAGAATCAGTCTCACATGAGCATATATCTCCTGTTTTTACACATGACAGCCTGGTAGAAATGAAAACAAAAGCATACTAACCTCAGTTTCTTTATGCTCATATTTCATTGCATTCCTTGCTCCCTGACTTTTTCTTCGGATTTTCTTCAGTTCAGCCTGAGACTTCTCCAAAGAATCCAATTTGCTTCTATGTTCATTCTGGTATCTCTTCAAAGTAGCCTGCAATGCAAAGTTTTTAGAGACCTTGTATAAGATAATTATACTGATAACTGAAGTCACTGTACCTGCAAAGTTAATACTTAGGAGACAGCGTGTGTGGCTAGCCTCAGTACAATGCCACAAAATGCCATGTCTAACGTCAGCAACTTGCAAGCAGAAATTGCAGTACAGGTCGCTCAGTATGGTTCATACAACCAACTGTTAAACAAAGAAACTGCTGCCATATTAATTCATTTATTCGTGACATTTTTATCTTAAACAGCAATACACTCCATTACTATAGAATACAGTTACCAATGGTTGTTCTTCCCTTGCACTGAAATTTGATATACTTACGTTCATGTATTTTACATCTAGTTCGGTTTTCTTCTCCAGCTCAGATATAATTTCTTTATGGAATTTCTTGAACTTTAGAAATAAACAGATGACAGCATGGTCAAAAGATTAGTGTCTTCATATGTGAAATATGGAAGTAATGTACAATATTGCAAAAAAATGTTTACTTACACTTTCATCTAAGCTGTCATTCAATTTCTTCTGTGCAATGGAAATTTCTATAAGAACATGCCCTATTAACAAAAACAATTAAGTATTATTTCTGACTCTTTCTGTATATTCAGAATGTATACATTAATGGAAGATCCAAAAAAGGCAAAAGGATCGTGGTGGCTGTCCCCTCCCATGCACTGATAAGGTTCCATAACCTATAAGCATACAACTTGTTATTCTCTCTCTCAACAATGTGTTCAGCCTATAAATACATTTCAAAGATGTGAAGAGGTACAAATGCTCTTGCTGTAAAACTGCCTGCTGCTCCTGCACTTTTGTGCCCCAAAATATATTTCTCTCTATAGTCTTTGTTCTTTTGTTGAATGATATGACAGAGATTCTGTGTGGACAATAGTTTAGAACCAGAGCCCATGCTCTGTAAGGATAAAGTACCAAGGTTCAATTTTCAGAGTACTGAGGAAGGACTAAAGAAGACCTATGTCTGAAATTTTGGGAGTTTTATCCATTCTGAGCATGACAGTCCAACTACCTGAGTTGGCATAGGGCAACTTCCTGTATTTCCTTGATCACTAGGACATGATCTTCTTAGAAGATTTAACTCTCACATATGCCTGTGAGAACTGCAAATAATCCACCAGAGCTGAAAGTCAACATAAATGCACATGACTGGCAATTTTCTTGACAAATCCAGGAACTTCCCATGTGTGACAGAACCAGCAATCATTTGTGAGGAAGCCCAGCCTCTTCCTTCTACATATGATGGAGGAAGAGGGCCAAAGTCAATTACTGAACCCTTTTCCATAGATATGTCCTTTCTGCCTTGACTATGATTTCAGAATCAAATTGTCGAGCTGTGTAATTTAACTTGCCTTTCCTACTTTGCCAGATTAGTAGCACAGTCTCTGGTTCAGACCATCTATTAAATATATATATTAATAGCCTGAATTGGCAATGAAAATAAGGATTAGAAGGCGTGTAATTCTGTCATCAGTTACATACTGCCAAGTCCCAACTTAAATGAGGCTGATGAATTAACAACTTCGTGAATGACTGTAGCTGAGACCATGAAATTTATTAACTTTAACTATTCATATTTGAAAAAATAATGAAGGAATAAAGGAAACCTAATTTACAAAGTAAAATGGACTGTTCAGTTTAAGTTACAGCATAGTGAAGAATAAAGGTCAGACCCCTGTTTAAACAAAATCCCAACTTCTATTTTCCTTCAGTTCTGCTCACACAGTACATGTTTTCAGAATTTGCTGCCACAGCAACACACTTGGTAAATTTGGAAAGATTAATGCACTAGGATTGAGAACTTAAAGTTCTGATAGTTATCCAACAAGGTTGTGTGCCGGCTCAACTTTCCCAATCCTCGAACACTCCCTTCCTTTGGCTCTTCCTGCCACGACAGTGTAAATGTTCAATAAAACAACTCATTCACCTGGCAGGTCAAGAGTGGAAAACCTGACTTTCAGATGATGTTATTTTGGTCTCAGTCGGGCTTAGTATGACTGTAGCTCTCAGAGCAGTTGGGTGTGACTGCTCTTCCTGAAAAGTTTTTTCTTTTTCACTCTTCAGAAACAATTTGAAGGATTAATACAGTTGAGAAAGTAAATATTTAAGATTATTTTATAAAGATGTGAGTTTCTTCCTGGTCCTACATCGCCTGCTGAAAGTCCCCCTAGCACCATGCAAATGTATACACTGCCTTAATTGTTTACTCTTGTGCTATGAGACAATATTTTGACAACAAAAGTATAGTAATATTATGGGACACTAAGATGTAAATAGTAGAACAAACTGAGCAATTCCAGTTAAATGTCATATACTTCTACAGCTGGCAAATCTGGGGAATTTTGAAGTCAAATAATTAAATTCAAGTAGTATTTCATCAAATGATGCATCAATAAGTATATGGCATGGGAATTTTCTTTGCAGCAGGTATCCTAAAACGAACACAGTCTCTTACAGAAGTACTACAGACAAGAAAACAGAGAAGTACAGACTGAAGTGGGTTATTTCTTCTAAATGCAGTAAATCTGCCATTAAATGTTTTTGGTATTAATATGCTTCCGCAATTTAGTTTTTCAATCTACACTGTGGCTATCCCTGCCCCTCATCTTTGCCTGAAGGTCCGCGCTGCATTTTCGCGCCCTGCCCTCGCTTACCGAGGGTGCAAAAATGGCGGCGCTATGGCAGAACATCGCTTAACGGTGAGTTTTAAAGCCATAGGAACGCATTGAACGAAGTTCAATGCATTTCTATGGCTTTTTTATTCCCGTTTAGCGATGTTTTCGCATAGTGAAGGTTAATCCGGAACGGATTAACCTTGCTATGCGAGGCACCACTGTATATGGCATGGGAGTTTTCTTTGCAGCAGGTATCCTAAAACAAACACAGTCTCTTACAGAAGTACTACAGACAAGAAAACAGAGAAGTACAGACTGAAGTGGGTTATTTCTTCTAAATGCAGTAAATCTGCCATTAAATGTTTTTGGTATTAATATGCTTCTGCAATTTAGTTTTTCAATCTACACTGTGGCTATCCCTGCCCCTCATCCTTGCCTGTCCTTAATCTAAGGACAATTACAATTTTAAAAATTTAATATTTCCCCCCAGTGCATTAGAAAAAACAGAAAAATATATCAGAAGATACAACCCTTTAATGCCTGCTACCCAGCTCCAACACCCAACTACTATACACAAAATTAAGGAGTAAGGGGAATTATCATTTGATGGACAGAACAGCAAAAATCTTTATTCTAACTTTATTGCTTCATAGCCAATTAGGCTGTACACATAAACAGAAATCAAACCACTCTTAAAAAGTAATAGTTGACATGTAATATAAATACACATAAACAACAAAAAAAGCATAAAAGAATGAAATAATTAAATAAGCATTCTCAAGCAAGTATCAAGTTGTAAGAGTAACTGATAGATTGTGAAGCAGGCAATGAGTTCTGTCTTTAACGAATTCAGTAAGCCAATAGGATATCATCATCAACATATATGTAGTAGTCTGTGCCAGCTAGAATAAAACTGTACATAGAGAGGATTTTTCTTGGTCCCAGTTTGCACCTTCTCATTTGCACAAAACCAGCAATGCAAAAATACAGCTGTAGACCTAGACAAGGAAGGGTTATTATGGTATCACAAAAGGGGCACAGAATGGGCTGATTTTTGATCTGTATTTGGGTGCAGAACAAGTTGGGGGACTTTTATATATCCCTTATCTTAACCACCTATAGTTATATGCTCCTATACTGAGACACCAAGATAGACTAAATGTCTCAGAATTGAACAAATCTAAAAACCAGCAGACCCAAAATAGGTGTCATTTTCCTCTTTGAGTGCAGACATCCATATAAATAGAAATAGTTATTTGAAATGGAAAGAGTACGAAACTAATTGAGATGAGGAGATGGTACGTGTATGTTTGTGCATATGCGTCGTGATTTGAAATGGAAAGAGTACGAAACTAATTCAGATGAGGAGATTGTACGTGTATGCCTGTGCATGTGCGTGCATGTATGTCGTGTATGTATGTCTTTAATTTTCCAGGCAGGAAAAATTTTCTCTTCAGACAGGCTCCCCCCCCCGCCACCCGTGACTGGCTGCCTAAGAGTTTAAGTGCTGGGTTTTTTGTTGTTGTTGTTTTCCCTTCTAGTTTTTAAACTGTTTGTTTTTAATAGAGTAAGCCTTGTGTCCTCTTGAAAAGAAAAGTG